AAACAAACTAAATACGTAATAGTGAGTGTCATTATAAGTATGCTCGACAGCGCTACTACGGCAATACGTGGTACAGCAGGTTGCCAATCTACCAAAACTTTTTTTTTGACAATTAACGATCAGGGTCCCTAAAAATTATTTCACTTTTTTCTGCGGTTCAGTCCGAGTTCCTAGTTCCATAAGTGTTGTTATTGCGTGCTGAGCAGACGGCGTAGTGAATAATTTTGAGGGATTCTGGGAGAGATTTTTCGATCGGAAACCCTGTTTACGAAACAACGAACATAAACTGCCATAATGGCAAACAATAATAAAAATCAAGATGGTGAAAAGAGAAAAAAATTCGGCCTTTAAGTATCATAAATACTAACCGATTGAAGGAAAACCGAGCGATGACGCAACTACGAAAGAAAAATAGCTGCAGGAACGCGAGAGCCATTACGGCCTAAGCACTTATAGACTCTGCATTTAAAGGAATCACAAAAGGGATAAATCCCACGAAGTTGAACAGAATATATCAAGACGTAATGTGCGAGTGTGGCAAGTTTAGATGTCCAATAGCCCCCCAACCTTGTAGAAAGACAGAAACCATCGAACGTACGAGCTGCAAGCGGCCCATGTGTTAACTCGAAAAAGCGGTGCAGCTCCGATAGCACTGATGACGGCGGCTAGCTAACCCCGTGCAAATCAAAAAAAGCATACAAGCAGTCTCGAGTTACGTTTGAAGAAGCGCCTTCATCGAACCAACACAAACAGTTTTCTAACTCAGATGCTGAAAGCAACGGTATCGTGATCAGCGAAACATCTGAAACTGAATCTACGGCGAACACCAAAAACACGAAAAGGTGACAGAAAAATGCAACGCCGAGAAAGTCTGCTTGCGAGACCGAGCAGCGCAAGTCATACGACGTACAGCAGCACACGGTCCGGTCTCGATATATGCAGAAGGCGACAGTGCGTAATAAGCCCCCGCCGATTTCGTGATAGTCATTGTGCTTAAAATATTCATTATCATTATAAAGAACAAAAATTTTGATACTAAAGACTTCTTGATACGACAAACCGACACGGACTGTCACACCGTTTCGACAAACAATATCGAAGTTTTTTGACACAATGATCACGACCTTTAAGGAGAATGGTATCACCTATATCGTATATCACATACTCGTCGAAGTTTAGGAAACAAAAAACGTACTGAAGGGCATCCACGGTGACTAGTGCAGATTAAATTAAAACCAAAATAACTGATATGCAGATTCCAAAAATCAAGGTAACAAAATAACCAATGTACACTTCATTAAAAAGAACCACGATCTCTACTACTTCCACATTCAGCTGTCTAGTAACAGTGACGTAAGCTTTCCAACGCGCCAGGTGGGAGAAAGACTGTAAGGCACTGATCAATACGAATGATAATAGTTATTTTCACTGCAGGCGACCGTATTCGGGTTTTTACATACAGAGCACACTCGGTCGGTAAATGGGTCCCATACGCTCAGCAGCTCCTCCTAATGTAATAGCGCTATTGAACTAGAAGGAGGCAGAAGAGGGGATTCATTACACTGAACGACAACTCATTCTCCAGTGAAACTCACTCACTATATGGGGCGTAAGTTAGCTAACAATGAGCGACTTCACATCGGAGAAGAAAATGTTTGCATCGCGGGATATAAAAGCCTCGGCGTTCGCTATGCTCGCTGCCTCGGCTCTTATACTATCCCGCGCTGAAAACATTTTCTCTTCCGGTGTAATGGAACTTGATACGCTACTGACGCATAAATAACTATTATGCGTCAGCAGCATAACGAGCGCCATTACACCGGAGAAAGAAACGTTTTCAGCGCGGGATAGTATAAGAGCTGAGATAGCGAGTGCCTATAGGCTCTTATCCCGCGATGTAAACCCGCGATGGTCGGTACGCTCGCTATCTCAGCTCTTATACTATCCCGCGCTGAAAACGTTTCTTCCTCCTAATGTAATGTAATGGCGCTCGTTACGCTGCTGACGTATAAATAAGTAATAATTCATTCAATATGTCACCAATAAATGTAAACTCTATTGTAGCTTTAAATAGACGCTATGACCTTTATACTTTCATTAAGACAAGAAAATTAGATATTGTACTGGTCTTCGGAATTAAACTAAAGTATAGACATAAGTTAGAGTTCTCGGAGAAATGATAGAGTAACAGGGGATAGAGGAGGTACTGCCATACTTATTTTAAAAAAATCATACCATACGAAATTATTTGTACCCCGTCTTTAAGGAAAAACACGATACTCGAGTATACTGCAATCAAGTTCAAAATAAATATCAATAATATTGTTATTATTTCTGCGTACGCTAATAACGGCGAAAGAAAAAAATTTGTCTGTAAAATCGAACATTTATTCGCTCAACTCAAGCTCGATCGTGATAACAAATTCTACATCATATGTAGTGATCTGAATGCAAGACATATACTTCTTGGGGGTCTCCGTCACATAAACGAAAGGCAAGCTTCTTAAGAATTAGCTTGATAACAATGCGTTTGCTTTCAAGGCGCTCGTCATTTCACCAAGCGAGGCTACATTTGCTAACATTAACTCCTTTTTAGGTTTATGTATCATTGATAACAGGTTTTAAATAACAAATACAACTAATACATTTATGACTTGCGATTACAATAGTGAACACAACGCAATTTTGCTAAATCGTCATCTATCCACTAACTCTGCTTTAAAACGGTTGACCCAGTCAATAAATTTCGGTTTATGTAGAAAAAAAACAATGGATAAAATTTTAACAGAAACTAGCACTTCATTACTCCAATACCATGCCGACAGACAGAAATCCAACAATAGACGAAATCAACACACATTTACTTACAATACAAAACACAATACAATAGAGATCCACGTACCAGAATATAAGCTATCTAGTAATGTTTTAAACTACGTTAACACCAAAATAAAATAAATTCACAAGACTGAATCACACTTTGTCTCGCAATTGAATAAGCCTTACAAACATGGCAAACACAATTATTCTAATAGAATTACCTTCTTGAAAGAAAGCATGCAATAATGTAACGACATTCTTAAAAACGAATACCAGATCACTTACAAGTACTGGGACACACTCGTCAAATATATCGATTATAGGGATTCGACTGTCTTTTTTCCTAAAATCAACAATTTCCGATCCAAACTACAAATAAAAATCGATAAACTCTCTGTCAGAAAAGACACCAAAATATTACGAAGAAGCGCCTATGACGTCAATAATCTACCGAGTATCGATGATAAATAAACTACAGAAAAACGGACATATATTTAATGTAATTGGAGCGCACTACGAGAGAATGAATGCTCTAAAATGTTTAAATGCCAACTCCGATATGAAACAATCGTCGAAGTCCACGTAACTAATCTCACAGCAGCCTTTAAAGAAAATTTCACCAGCAATAAAACAATTACTCTTTTTCTGATACTAACTCAGCCTATCGTCATAATCATATAGAAAATTCGCTACACTTTCTTAGCCCACGATATACTGATCGCATACTCAATAACCTATCAAACAAATCCTCATCGGGACTACATAATATCCCTCCACTGTCCTCAAACATCTATCGCAGAATATCATCGATCACTACACAGTGCTTTTCAATAACTGCATCAACCTTAAATACTTTCCCGACGCACAGAAACGCGTGAAATTATTACCTGTATTGAAGAAAGGTAAGCCTCCGGACCAAACAGCTAATTACCGTCCAATAAACTTAACTCCCGCAATCAGTAAAGTTTTCGAATGCATAATTAAAAAATCTCTAATTTACTATTCTAATAAAAACAGTCATACCCGACAACCAATTCGGATTCAAACGTAGAATGCATAGAAAGCAAGGCACTGTCAACTCCTATTCTCACTAATATTTTAACATTTAATATCCTTGCGATACCTACCGAGAACAATGACGGCTGTATACACACGACTAAATACGCTGACGACTACAATGCACTAGTAGCTGACAACGACCCGACAGTAGTACAGACAAAACTTCAGAAACTAATAAATGACGCCAGTAATCAATAGATATTATGGAATCTCAAACCCAATCTCACAAAATGCGAGACTATTATTTTTAAAGAGCCATTTTAACCAAAAAAATAAGAAATACCGCCATCTAATCGACGATCTGCAGATAAAGCTGAAATAATCAAGCGCATCGGACACAAACATTAAATAAACGTTATGTATCACTGAAATTGATATATATCTCTATAAGTAGGAAACTAACTAATAACCCAATACATAAAATAATTTAAATTTAGCATAAAGTGTTTTATGCTAGCTGCGCTGCAGCCTTTGTAAGACTGACCTCACACCCTACTCCCTCACTCCGCCTAATCCTACCCTCACTAAAATTCTTTCCTATCTCTCTCTCTTGCACCCTCGTTTGTATCTTTAAACACATGATTCGTTCGGTCAGTCACGCAGGTTTCTAATTTTTTCGTGTTACCATTATACTAATATCATGAAAACAATATATAACAAAAATTTGTTGATGCTATTAATACATATTGCCCAATATCGATATTTAACCATGTTAAAACATGTTAATAACTGTTGAATGATATAAACATAGTTATTATTCTATTATCATAAATCTTAAGGCTTTTTTATAGTTAATATTTTTACGTCTATCTCTGTACCTCATACATGTAACGTATTAAGCAAATAAAAATTATTTTGAAAAGAAAACGTTCGATTCTTGATACCGGAATTTTTTGTCTTGTTTATTTTTTTAATTCCTTTATGTAAATTTTCGTGAGTACTCTTATAATAGAGCCAATAATGTTAGTACTATTAACTCTTTTTTTGTGAGTAATATTCAGCTGTTTCGTTGATTGAATGATTGCGGCAGTTTTTATATAAAAACACTATGTTGAACACTCTTACGTTGTCATAATAATAAAAGTTATTTTGAATATAATATAAAAAAGAGAAGGACTCACTTGATAAAAAAAGATCTTGGAGGGCCTGGGCAGCTTGGCACAAAAGAGCCCAAGTTTCTGCTGCTGCCAATCCTGTTCCTCTCAGAGCAAGGACATCTCCCGCAACGACTCCTAAGCCGGCGTCGCCAACGGTCTTCATTGGCATTCTGAAATACAATTACATAATATTGTGAGCTAATGCTTTACTCCATGAATGTAAATATATAAACTGCATAGTTGCAAATAGAATACCACAAAAATATATAAAAATAACGTTTTTGTCTATTGTTGTAATGATTCTCTGAAATGTCAAATACATCTTTAAAAGTTATCTCAAAGAAATTTTTGGTATGAATAGGCATCATTAGTTCGTGGAAAACTAACAGTGAGACAGACTAACAATAAACTCTACTTCAATACTAGACAACATAACCATAATTATGTATCCTGTGTGCTATAGTATTAATCCGTAACGCTTCACAGGTTTGATTTAAAGAAAGAGCAGCGACCTACGTCGACTTTTCGTGAGTAGCTTACACAGATATAATTAGCTCTAATTAGAGGGATGGCTTACATCAGTTCACTTTTGCAAGCGCTATACGTGCTTTACTGCAAACAAGAGGCATGCCAGACGATACAAAAGGAAAGAACGCGTAGCTTTGGATTTCAGGTCTTTACATTGCACATAACATACATAACACACAGACGCGCACATTCACGAACACGCAGAGGTACGGGTTACAATAAATACATATCAGAGAGAAAATAGAGACAGCAACTGCTCGGCGCGGAACAATCGTCGTAGACTCCGACTATATATGAGCTTCCAGCTTTAGAGTTACAATGGGCATCAAGCTCGTGTCGCGTTCAAATCCCTCCAACCACCAACAACGACGATTTCTACCAGTGGCAAACGTTCAAACGTACGGCATCTCAGTACGCCAGGATGTTTATTCGGGACACGTGTGCTTTTCGTTAATCTTTTACTTTACAATTTCAGTGATCGTATTTTCTGCTACGCCAACGCCGCTCAAATATGAATCGATATTTCATTCTTTTCTGGAACATTTCGAGACCTATCGAAATCTCTGGTTTACAATTTAAGTTTAGCAAGTACACAATATTTACAGCATGCTTTATTTAATTCTTCCAGACTTCTTCCAGACTGTTTTGACAGATATTGTTGTTTGGAAAATTTAAAAGTATTAAGCAGCCAAAGAAATTCAACTTCAAGATTAATATTGATTGTTAAGGACTGGCGGGTTGTTTTCACGCGCGGAGGAAAGAATATTGCGTGTCGAGAAGATATTGATGTCACATAAAAGATTACAAGAGTTTTTGAGAGAAAAGCGAGATAAAGTTATTGATGGGCGCAATGTGACAATAAATAACTTGCACTCAACAGCTTTACTCCAAACGCCAACTATATGACGGCAGGCCAGTAAAGTCTGCTAGCAATGCATGTGACGTGCACTTTAAGGAGAAGCCTCGCTTCGATAAGCCGAAGTGAACTTGGTTGTCGGTCCGGGGAAGAAAAGGAAAGTTTGCGCCGAGTAGGTTACAAGTCGTGCGTCTCGATCCGTATTCTTTGTCGACACAACAGAATTGAAGTCGAGCTTGCGAGCTGATTTCTTCCAGCCGAGAAGACGCGCCAGACCGACAAGTTAGGACAGTCTGGAACAACTTCGCCATATCTAGGCCGAGCTCGCGTTCGCGTGCGAGTGTCTCTTTTCACAATTCTATGTCGAGTGAAAACTTCGTCAAAGTCGCGAGACTTTATATTGTTAGAAATTTCGTTAATGAATCTATTATCCACTGCCGAAAGGTTGCTCAAACTTTGATTAGGTTTCACGCTGATATTGAAAGGCATCTTTTCATGGTCTGCTCGATACGTAAATACGGTATAATATTTATTTTAAACTAATATAGTTTTGATTCCCCCCTGTCTTAACAAAAATTTTACGTCACCGATATCGAGTATTATGATTGGTTCGGCTCAAAGATTTTAATTTTATCATACTTTAAAAATAAATATATCATATATGTAGAAGGAAATTTATATTTTTGAAATAAATTTACTTTATAAAAAAATTCATATTAAGAATAATCTCTAAGACTAATGAATAATGAAAATATGCAGATTAAAAAAAAAATGGAAGGTTTAATTATTTCGGAATTATATCGTTTACTTGATTAGTATCATCGGATCAGAAATAATACAATTGCTAATCAGATTTCTATCTGTAAAATTTAAATAAATATTATTAAATGTAGGTCTACTGATATTTTTGGATAATTTATTTATATATCTTGGAATGATTAAAATTTGACAAATAATGAATGTTAATTGAATTTTTATGTACCAATAAATATCAATGATCATAATGTGTGCAAAGTTACATAATTTATTTATAGTATCAAAATCTTCAAATTTCCATATAACAATTCTGGTCAATGTAGTAAATACTACAAAAACAAAAAAGGAGTGTGCTATACGATGCTAGTTAATAAAAATATTTGTATCCACATTATTAGTTAACAATGTCAAAGCAAGCGCGAAAATAATCAATAACAAAATGAAAACTTTAACGTGTCAATGAAGCATATTTTCAGTATAAATTAAAATTACCTTACTACAAGGCATACGTTGTATTATTGCAAGTTCACAAGCAATGCATATGGTAAAGTGGAAATATTTTTCGTCGCTGGGGAAATAAAGAATAGCGTTTGGTATTTAGTGAGCAAAAGAAACCCGTATAGTCGATTTTCGAAAAATAAAATACATCTTGGTACTCTCAACAACTCATGTTGAGAATCAATCAACAAAAGGTCGCAGAGTCATTTATTGCTAGCATCCTCATACATAGTTGTTGACGTGCTGTCGTTGTTTGCCAACGTCATCGTGATTTAGACTTCTCCGCGCATAAAAGTAGGAAATATACATTCTTTTGTTTTGGAGAGTGCGTTCCAATGGACGGGTAAAATGTACTCAAGAATTTGATTGCGAATGCGTTTTGGAAAATAAGAAAGAGTGCCTTGCAATCTCGAGTGAAGAGAAAAGAGCAATCGATATATATATAGGGGTTATACTCAAACCACAGCGCGCTTCCTAGTTAAAAGCTCGAATGGGTTTCACTCTCTCTCGCTCGCTCGCTCGAGTTTGCTGATCAAGCAAACAATGACACATTCAGAAGTTCAAACCTGAATACACGTTACGGGCGTGAGCCGCGCATTCAATAATGCAAAAGTGGAGCAAGCTTTGCGACCCGTGACGACGAAAATCCATTTGTAATAAATGCCCGAGGTGCCAGGTAAACCATACGCCGCTTAAGGCATTGCAAGTATAATTACTATTTCATAAAAAGGTCGCGTATCGTGTTTTCGGATCAAAAAAAGAACTCGTCATAGTACTTTATAATTTATTCGTCAAAGTTCTCGCAGACTTAATTGCATTATTAAAACTAAACAATTTAAGAGTAGTTTATTATTTCACAGAAAGTTCCCAACCATTATATATTTACAAAGTGCCATAATCAACATTTTACACGCTCGCGCGTTAGAAGCACGTTAATATATCTGTCAAAGACTGTTCGTCGTCATAAAAATGAAATTTTAAAGCCAGCTAGTGGGATAGCATTCAACGCTTTTATTCGCTTTAGTATCGTATAACTTTCTTCGCAACATCTATCGACGCTTTCATATTGAGCCTTTGAAAAGTACATTGAGCATGCATTACAAGAGAAAAGCATAAACTGCTGCGACCTACGGCACGCGTTTGCCAGATTTTCATTTTAGAATGTATTCTGCGCGAGAATTTACGCAAGCCCCGCGTTCGTTGTCGCGTGCTGCTTGCATAGACACCGACGGGTAAATCTCGATTGTGATTCTGAATACGTCCGTACATAAAATGCTAAACTTTTGAACTTTATAGAGATTGAGGTTAAAGATTATAGAATTATATAATATTAATTAAAGTTCAAACAACTCATAATTTTTTTCCTAAGATTATTATATACAGTGATTATTTTCCATAAAAAACTTGTTGGAATGTCCGCAGTTCTACGCAAATTGGTATAAACTTTGAAACATTTCGTAACTATAACAGAGCTGACCACATTCAGTTATTTCTACTTAAACTCGATAACTAAGTTTAAAATAAAAAAGCCGAGCTTTCGTGTTCGTACAACTAAGCGATTAAATACCGATTGTCGATGCAACGTGCAACAATGACAATTTACATCAAACTCATTAAAAACTCTCTACCGTAATTATTGAAAATAACAACAAATAACAAAGATTAACAAATCATGCATATTGACATTGAGAATGAGACACATGCTTGAGGTCGTACGACCCACCTTAAACATCTTCGATAGGAGCATCGGTACGCTGCGCAATTTTAGCCTTGATGATCTCGTGAGGAGCGACCGTCTGGAGCCGCGAGCCGGGCAGGTAGTATGCCAGACAGGAGACGCCAACGAGAAATAGGAAGAACAGGAAGACCAGGTCGAACATCAGAAGTGAGTTCAAGGTCAGCAGTTGCATTGTGTAGTCTCCTTCACCATATCACACGCGCTGATTTGCTAGCTTCACACGCTTTGTACGTATGTTTGCACTGTTCCCTTCTCACTTTTTAGCTTCCTAGGCACTAGCTCTCTCTCTCTCTCTCTCCCTCTCTCTCTCGATCGCAAACTCGCGCGCTAGGCCATTGTCAATCGATCGTTCGATAGTCTTCTGGGTAACATTTCAAAATCTAAGTCAACACACACCGCACTTTTCCTTCATTTCAGCTCACTGAATAATGCATTTAGGTGCATGCAAATATCGGTTATTCTCCTTTGTACTTTACTCCATATTGATCGGCGATTTGATCATGATTGACTAAGCTTAAATTTCACGTACATTTTTCAGCTGTTAATATTAAATGCCTTACGTTAAATTATGTACACGTATTAATTTCTATAAATATACCCACGCGACTTGCTATTAATATAAATAATATGTATTTCCTAAATTTATTATGATTCGAGTCAATAGAGACTGTCAATTTCTGGATATTTAAATATCCATGACATTTCTCGCTGTACGTGAGTTATTTTCATGATTTGTTGGACGCTTAAAATGAAAAATGTCCGTTTCTAAAGTACAAGAAGTAATGAATCGGTACTGCGATTTTTAGTACAGCCTTAGCATCATTTTAGTGTCTTCAAAAGTAGAGAAAATATTTATCGCGCGTCGCGTATAGTATATACAGCTATAAAAAGGCCAATATTAAAAAGCTCGCGAGAGGTCGATGTTCCATAAATTGCCGAGCCCAAAGAGCTTGCCACAGGATGCATTGGGTAGCGTGATGAACGCTCAGAACTTTCTTGTTGGACGCGCGCTTCGCGGACTGTCTCATAAAAAGCGCTCACTCGCGAGACTATGTGTAGGTACTACTGCTACGGAAATTACGTCATGCTCGTAAATTTCCTGCGAGCCTGAGCAATCGTGTAGCTGTCGGTTCGTCGAAGGGCGATACGTGCTAAAGCAAAAAACTAAAAAATATAAAATTAAAAAAATGTCAAGTCCGATAATGTTACCTACGAGCGAAATTCTCCGCTCAAGTGTAAAACGCGTAAAGAATTTTTTTTTTTCAACCGGCAAACATTTTTCCAATTCGTCTGACAAACGAAGAACATGTTTTCATATTTTGTGCACGTGCATTAAGCAAAATTAATAATATTTCAACAACAAAAATTAAACGTTCTTTTACGTTACGCTTTCAAACTAGATTCCGTTAAAATTATTTAAGCGAGAGTTACTGGAACATTTTGTTGGCAATTTATAAGCTCCAATATTTTAATTAATTTAATATTTATCAGCATAAAACAGAAACTCGACTCCGTTTATCGTATAGAATAAAATTATTGTCATAAGTTTATGAGAACGAAGTGAGTCAGTGTTCCTTTAGGTGCAAGTAGTCGTGCAGATGAGATAGCATCGCAGAGCTATAATGCTTGCGCTGGGTCATTTGTTTCCTTCTGGCATTTCGCTTTAACCGACGGCCACAGAATGAGAGATAGTAGATTAAAGCTTGGAAAGTGCTTAATGCTGTCGCTCTTCGGTATCCATTAGTACCGTCGATTTTTATGCTAAGTGCTGAGCGCAATAGAAGTTAACGCGATTAATTGTACATTGTCCTTTCGTTTAGGGATTCCTCAACTTTTGCCTGCTCTCATTTATTTATTTTTTTAACGTTCTCTCCTCACCTTCGCTTAGTGCATCGTAGCTATGATAAGGTTCGAAATGTATTTTCGGACTAATAACGCTGTGATAAACTAAGAACATTGTTCGAAAAGACCAATACAGCTCGCGGAAAGGAAAAGCGAGCAACTAATGTTTGTACAGCAAAAAGTATTTTAAGAGCAAACGTCCGATATATATGTATAAATCTATAGTAGTACCAATAGAAGCGAATTCACCGTTTCATTACATTCGGGCAAGTAAGAAAGAAAGGAGCGGTGCGAGTTATAGTACAAGAGGAGGTAGTAATAGCCGCCGGCAAGGATCGTTGCTTTTAGGTTGCCGATCGAAAAGAGATTAGATTCTAAGACTATGTGGCTCTCTATATGAGGGTCGCGCGCATCATGGCCCGGTATTTCTTCGTTTCGAGGGAGAAGTCCAACGTGCCACATGTCATATTACTACTAGACCTCCGACGAAAAAATATGGGATCAACCTGACGATATACTCGGCGCGCCGCTATATCCTCTAACTGCCTTGAATATACGACCTTGCATCGTTACTCCAGATCAATTGATCTTGACACTCGCTTCAAGGCAGACTCGAGTGTTGAAAATAATGATCTACTCGTTAAAAATAAGCGCTGATCAAACAGTATAGTTATCTCGTTACTTGATAGCACCTGTATTCCTTTCAATGTAATATAACGCTTCAAAGTACGGCAATACGGAGTAATGCAATTGAAACTAACTGATTAGAAGTAAATTTAAAGTTGAATTATTTCATGGCGTTGATGGTGAAGAGGAAAAATTAAAAATAAAGCTACGATAGTTGGAAAAGTAATTTAAGAAGAGTTTGCATGCTTCGGTTGTAAGAGAAATCGAAAAATATTAAAAATCACTTCTAAGGCTCTATTTGCAATAAATCTATTTATCGAGAGCTCTAGAGCTTCTTAATCTGATGATCGTATTCCGGCCTCAACGGCAACTCCGGAACAAAAAAAAAACTAAATCGACTCGACTCTTTCGCTGCGACAGACAAATAGCAATTTGCATCCTAAAGAGGAGAAGCCGACTATCGTGAGTTTCACTCCGCAGCCTTAATCCAAACCTCCGCTTGAGCTCTTTTTTCCTTTTTTGTTTTCTACTGTGAATTTGCTGATGCTTTAGAGTTGACTTATTACGTTTCACGCTAGCGCAATCCTAAATACACGGAAGCTCATGCATTCTTAATTAAAACTTACATTGAATAAAAGTAAACGTCGAATTTTGAAAAAACTTGCAATTAAGAGCGAAAAAAATATCGGTAGGCATTTGATTAATTTTACAATGAAACATTACAATTAATTTACAATGAAGTAGCGCAGCATACTCTACACTCGAGACGAGCGTTATTCGTGCGTAGAGTTCAAAATGTGCACCCTTATCTTCCAGCTGTAAGCCTGGGGCATGGGATAAACGACACATTGCTCGAAACATAATACAGACACAGTCAGTTGCACTCTCGCGCGCGCGACTCCCTGAAGAACGACCGAGCACCTCTCGCTCCAACACTATAGCTTTATTTTTCATGGACTTGTACGGGCACATCGCATACACTCACGTATACTCGCGGTCCTCTTTCTCTCTATCTCTATCTCTCTTTTCTCGTCATCTTGATGCCGGAAATATGATTAATATGCTTCGTTCGCGCGCGAGAGACGAGTGGATTTTATTTACACGCGCCCCGTTCCACCTTTAACTGTATTTCGAAGCCACCATCCTCCTGATGGCTGTTTCATGTAAGGCTGCAAGCTCCAGTCAGACGAGGCATTTCTCATTTTTTTTTTATCTGTTTCTTTTTCGGTTGACAACTTTCCTTACTTTTGTGGATAAATCTAGAGGACCTTGGAAATGAAAAATCGACGTAAAATAGGTCGTCATTCGTTCATTTCTTGCCGATATCGACATCACAACAACGATTTTTCAATATTTTACTACAACACGTTCTTAGAGTTGTTCTTGCACGTCCTGACAAATATTAATTTCATTATGTTTATTACTTTATTGTATTAATAATAAAAATTAATGATATTTTGATAAAATAGTTATTAGTACGTACAGAAAATTTAGTTTTTCAAAATTATATTTCATTATATATTTTTATAAAACATGAACATTTCTACAGCAATCCCTTCGTTTGCCTTAAAAGACGCACACCCGCACTAATGATGAAAAAACAGCAGTAGAGTTATTGAAAAAAATGTAGTTCAATTATAATTCAAGCTCTCACGTCTATGGCTACCGTGGAAATAACGAGTAGTAAGACAAATTAATTGAATTTATCAGAGCGATTTCAACGATTTTAACTTATCAGTTTAATTTATTGTAGCAGACAGATAATTTTAAAAAATATATATGCGATAATTTAATTTATTAAAATATCTTAATCTGATAAGTTTGAAGCTATGACTTTGTCATGACACGATTTCGCTTGCATCTCCAGTACTTGAGTTTCGTTGAATTTATTCCGTATTCACGCTTCCGTACTTCAGCTCCTTTGAAATGACCCAACGAGGCATGTAGTCAGTCGAAAGCACGATATTCATAAGTCGAAATAGAATTCGCACACTGAGAGAGCCCGAAAAAAAGGAAGGAGCATGGAAAGCCTTAAACGCGTGCCCTTGCAAAGCTGAATTAACGGCTCGACAAGAATAAAGCGAGAGCTAGAAGTGTGGAGGCGAGCTACCGAGAAGCCGGTCGCTTTTCGCAGTTAGTTCTGTGTTTTCCGACGTAGTGGTTAAAATAAAAAAAAAAGCAAAAAGCGCGATAAATATTAAGAAAAAAAACGTCGGTGAGCTTTTCTGCCACTTGTACGCTCAGTTCACGCATACGAACTGAGTAAACTCTCGTGTAAAGTGTTAAACTACTTAGACATTAATTTAACGCTTATTTTTATGCAAAAGTATGGCTTTCGTTATCCCGCTTTCCTCTCGAACTAAAAAAACTCCTTGCTGATTAATTTTTTCTTCGCCTCTAGTTATTTCATTCGTTGTTTTAGTGCGACGCGTTTTTGTCTGTTATTTGCCGACGCATATCTATAACATTTTTCTGACTGTAAAAATCATTAGATATGAATTTTGTTTTCTAGTTTTAAGAAGAGCTGTTGTTTTAACAAATTTAATACAGAGTTTGAGAGATAGAAATACAATTATAGAAACATTCAAAATTGTTTTGTATGTGACTGGATAAAATAAATGGTACAACTATTTTAAATTGAATGCAGTTTGATCAACATTTGTTTAAACACGAAAAAGTTGATAAAAAAATGCTCATTAAAATTAACCGGGAATTTCGACCATCTCTTCACGATGAATACACCCAGTGTACTTTTAATGAAGCTAAATATCAAATCAAGTTTTTTCATCGAAATAAATGAAATAGCGAGCTTAATTTACGTCGTTACGCACTACAAATGTTTCCAAATTACCAGTGTAGGTTAGATTAAATGTATGTTTTACACAGTCATATACCAATATAAACATGTACGAGCAATTCTGCTATGGTTGAAATATACTATGAAAACGGTGGTACAGTTTGAATATTTTACCGAACGAAAATGTATTGAGTTGTATAAAATGTAAGCCTTACTAGAGATACATTTATTTTTTTTATTTCGGAGCAGGCAAAGAATCGATTAGTTTGGCGAAAGCTCCAATGACAAATTTAATTTACTAGATAGAATAATATTTCAAATTAAATGGTTAAGTTTTGCTTAACATTTTGAATTAGACCATATCAAATTTCATGTTCAATAGTAATTAGATAATGAACTTGGTCACATCACACTTTGTACACATACCTATTCATTACGTGACATTGTCATCTGAAGTCGAGCGAAATATATTTTTTAAGAAAATATAATGTTAATGCTATTATATATTGCTTTCGGAGAAATTGAAATGGAAAAAAATTCAGTTCCATTTGAAAATAGGTTCTATTCACTTATGAATGTCTATAACGAACGGAGAGAAGAAGAAATGGTAAAGTTTTGACAATATTTAACAAACAACTTATTCGTACTATAAGGTAAGGTTACCGTAATTAGCTTCAAAAGGGTCGGCTACTGGGTAGACGTTGAACGCGCAACTGTTTGCACGCTCCGTGCGAAATGTACCGAATGGATTAATTTGCAAGACGTTTGTCGCATGGGAAAATTGGCGAAACTTGAAACTCGAATACACGTAATGTTGGAAACTGGCTTAAATGGGACGCGTAACCAGGTCGATAACAAAGATGAGCTACTCGGATGCGAACGAGTGAACTATCGTGTTCAGTTTTTTACTTTAAACTAATTTTTACCACCATTGACGAAGATTAAAACATAATAATACATTGAATGAAAATATTATGCATACTATTTAATACAAAATAATGAGCTTAATAATTTTGAGAAAAGTGATACTCCTTTCTCGACAAGATGATTTATTTAAAATGATAACTGATCAAGGTAAAAGGTCGTTTTTCTGAGAATATGGCTTTCAGTTAAATTTATCTTGTTTAAAGTATCGCTTTAACATTTTATTAAACAGTTTCAGATAAAATAGCAAAGTAGAATGGATTAAGTTATGAAATAAAATCAACTGCCGTTAATTTTTTTCGTTTTGGCCAATCGTCATATATATAAATCGAAAATGAGTAAGAACGAACAAACAATGAAGTGAACAAACGAAAGTTATTCTGAATTTTCATGAACTCTATCGAAATCTCAGTAAAATGAATGAAGCAATGAAGCGTTAAAATGTACGTCAAAGACAACAAGAAAACGGAAGGTAGAATAAACAGAATAGACCGCTAGGTGTACAGATGAGCACTCTGCCGAATGAATTGCTGGCCCCTTTGCCTTTTTCCTTTCTACCAAGATTGTCTTCGAGTTTTACGTAAGAAAAACTAGATATTGGACTGGAATGTACCTCACTAATTAAATAACTACCTTCGCTATTAGAAATTAAATACCAGGCCAATTAGGGCAAGTTTCAGGAAACTAGAAGCTGAATTCGATAAAGGTCCTGATCGTGTTGGCGACTAATGTTTTTTACGTTTGCCGTCGAGGCTAAGTTTTCCGTACTCAATAAAATTCCGATAAATGGAAACTACTGCTGCGCAAAAGCATTTGAAAGTTTCTTCTTCGTATCTTCTGCCGATTTGTTTTTTCTCGATAAAATCTCGTTACAAATTATATTTCAATCAGGCCTAGTTGAAATATAGTTCATTCCGGCATTCGTCAATAAAAACTATCAAGAAAAGTGAGTGAAATATTAGAAAATATTGCTGCTGGCTAATAATAATTTTCCAAAATTGAATTATTAAAAAGCGCAGTCGGGACCAACAGATCGATTCGTATGCAGCCGACCTCCCGAAAACGAGTGAATACTTAACGGGAGGTAAAGAAAAGCTTGGCTTGGACAAAGAAATCATGAGAAGTGTTGAAGCCTAACGCACGATATGGCTCTTTCAGCGGCGAATAGCCGTGGCTCGATGAATTCTTTAAATTAATTACTTGTCCAGTCAGCATTCCTCAGCTACCGAGTGCAGCTCCTCGGTAGCCGTGCGCCGCTAGTGTGTTCAACCACAAGAGCAAGAGCGTGTGTATGTGTGTAGATAACAAGTTACTTGCTCGTGGATGATTCTCTAGCGGCGCCAACCGAGTGGCCCCCTAATTGGAAACTCTCTCTTTCTCTCTCTCTCTCTCTCTCTCTCTCTCTCTCTCTCTCTCTCTCTCTCTCTCTCTCTCTCTCTCTCTCTCTCTCTCTACTCGCCGCACGCGAGTTATGTATCAAACATTTTCAATCAAGGCAAACCGAGGACGGTGCAAAATGAAAAATTGCCGGGCCTTCTGTGGATATTATCGATAGCTCGCTTAACTGGATTATAAGCGCTTTGTTTGCCTTCACGGGAATGATAGCTTTTTTTCTTTTAGCATTTTACTTTACAAATGATTCACTTGGATAGGCCGAATGGAAAAGCTTCTAAAATTTTTTATTAAACTGGCATAGTACACCGATTTTTCATTTGCCTCTTATAATTTTCATTTTTGCTCTTATTGTTATAGTCTTTAAGGCGTCAGTTTTAATCGAAAGATATTTCGTGTTTGAACTAAAAAAGTATAATTACAAATTTTCTTTTTATTGATGTTTATACAACAAATAAATATTTTATTACATGAAACGAAAACATAAAAAGTCAAACATTAAAACCATTCACTTATAGACAATTTTTAATATTATAAAACTTTAAGATTGTACTGACAAATATATATATATATATATATATATATATGTGTGTGTGTACGGTCATGATTTTCTTATTCAGTATTCACAGCGCACTCGTTTATGAAAAAGAATTGATTGTAGGTATTGGAATTATCGGTATAAAAAGGATTCTATTTAAGAAGCACAATGTTGGGTGATCGTTAATTATTAGCTATTTTCGATACTATCATCCTATATTTTTCTCTTTGTTTACAGAAAAAGTAAATTTAAGTGCAGTGTGGACTTTCAAGTAATTTTCATGAAATAAAAATGTTTTTTTAAATTTATTTTAATGAAAGTTAAAATGAGTTTCCACCGATATCGAGCTAATCGATTGAACGTTTTATTCATTTTTTAAAACATTTTTTCATATCGTTTAAGCTTCTACAAATCATGGAAAATTTAAGAAGAAAACTTTTAATTGAAAGCATGATTAAGTATCTAAGTTTTCGTAAGATTTCGACGTATCCATGATTAATTGATATCATCATGCTTATAACATTCACTACATTTTTAAACAAAAAATTGATGCTTTCTACAGAATTTTTCCATGTAGCTTAATTACGTCCAGACTGTTTTAAGAATATCTCGAATGATATTTATGTATTAGATGAAATAAAAAACAATGATCGAAAAACATTTTGAACGTTCCTCCATCTGCGACGTATAATTTTAATTCATCGACGAGACATTTCCGTCAGACGATGTAAGCACTATGCCAATTCCCTACAGTATACAGTAAATATGTATATCGCTGCGGGCTATGTATCTTCATAATGGATTTTTCCCGGAGAAAAGATCGCTAAGATGCCTTTTCTTTTCACCACTGGCTTTTATCCCAAGGGAAGTAACAAATCACTGACTCACTGTGCATTAACACGGGCTGCATCCAATCACACTAGCCAACATCTACTTCGGAAGAATGTAAGAAAAAAAGGAAGACGATACTAGTGAAATGTTTTTTTTTTTCAAAATAATGATATAGTGTCGAGTACACCTGTTCAACAGTGATATTTCATCGCGAAAACGAAATGAATTTTTCTCCGTGACGAAATGAAATTTGATTTTGTGCCTATTTATTATAACATTTCGCTTCGACTCACAATAAACTCCCAATAACTGCGGAATGATCACTGATTTTTAAATGAAAACACGTTTAAAAGAGTAAAAATAATCGAATAAGTGCAGCTGAAAAGCTGCGTGATCCAAGTCGTGAGCCGGTACGAAAAAAAGAAAACAAATGAAAGCCTGGTTAATCGGACGCCCGTTCATCGGAAATGAAAAGCACCGAACGCGCGAGTGCCGCACTTCAAACGGATCCTCGTAAAAGAACAGGTCGTCGCACTACATCCGTGACGCACTGTGTAGGCACAGCATTGGTAATCGAATAAAAGAGGAAGGAGCGGCGGCTCGCAGCTGCTCACCTTTTTTTTTTTTGGGCAATGTTATCGACTAACATTCGTGTGCCGAGGTGCGTTGTCAAAAAAAGAGCGAGCGCGCGCGAATCAGATAGAGAGAGCGAGTCAGGCTCCGGCTCGGGTACGAGCGCCGGCTGCTCGCGGACATGGCACTGCGGGCTGACGCTCTCGCGGGTACTCGCTCCCTCGGCAACCCCCTCCGCCCCCAAGCAGTTTCGCGCCCCCGCGTGACGTTCTCGCCGTGTGCATGCGCGCTCGCTCGCTCGTCTGCTTCCTCTCTCTCGCTCTTTCTCTCTCTCTCTCTCTCTCTCTCTCTCTCTCCCTCTCTCTCTCTCGCGCGCGTACGTTCCTATACGCAACTGTTGCGTTCGCGTTCGTTCGCTCGTTCGCTTTCGACCCCTCGCCAATGCACATCGCTGCCAGATGTTTCCACCAAAACCTAACTGCCGTTCCACCGTCCTAATGACGCTATCGTTATTTGTTTTTGTTGTTTTTGCTTTTGCTTTTGGCTCATCGCGATGCGTTGCCCAAAACGCTTGTCTGCTACTGCCTGCAGTGCTTTATTCGTGTGACGCCTGCAATTTATTCTACTGCGGGGGCTTCTCTTTCTTTTGTTCGGTCGCAGACATACATTTCAATCGGAAAACGCATTAAAGCACAAACCATCAAGCGAAAATGCATTGTACCGTTAGAGTCTAGGTGTGAAAAATTAGCTATATTTAAAAAAACAAGAAAGAAGTTTTAGCTGTGCATGATAAAAGCCGTCGAATGCAGCTAACTGCTGCTCTTTTATACTCGTTTATTATGATTATTTTTCGAGAACAATACAGCTTGACGTTTAAAAAAAAGACCGACAAAACGTAAGTGCTGCTTTATTTTGTCACGCATGGAAGTGAAGAAATCGAGCTTCGGAAAGCATTAGCAAACAAAATGTACGAAGAAGGTGTCTGCTTCGTAGAGCTCTCGCGTGTCCACTCTGACACATCCTCTTTTGACGTGCTTTGAGAAAGCGTCAGAAATTATTCAATTCCTAATACGTTTGCTTATTCTCCGTAAAGCGAAAATCCATATACGTACATATGTGTCTGTGTATGTGTGAGAGTGCCTTGTTTGTGTAGTCACGCGACACCCTGCCAGAATGAAATAACCATCAAGTTTTGGTTGTTCCCCGTGACGCCTTGCCCTTTGAAAAGAAATTTCAAGTCTGCTTTTCTGTCAAAGGTGTAAAAAATCAACCGCGGAGAAAAAAATTACTGCTTTTCTAAGATTCTTTTTTTTACGCGTGAATTTTCTCGTATTTTATTTTTATAGTTTGCTAGAAGTTTATGTGGAATAAGTTGTTAATTCTTTTCTCTGAAAAGTACGTCATTTGCATTAAAAATAATGTTAAAAATTAATGTTAAAAATTATAAATAAAAATAACAATATGAATTCTGCATGATTTTTTAATGTCAATCTAAAGACATCAGAAGTTATTATGTCTTTTAAATAAAATTGTTTGTTTCATAGATTATTTCTCTATTTGATCCGATAAAAGTAGAAAAATATAAAAAAGATTTTTTCCAAACGCGCCTGTACTGCCGAACCTCCTTTTTAGAGTAGCACATCAGCATTCATAGTACCCATATTATGAATTCATTTTAATCCGGATAACGTAAGTAGACAACATTTCGCATTATATGAGGCGCAGGTGACGCAATCGCCTTACAACACCGATTAAAACGCACGTGCTTGAAATAATTGAATTTCCATAAAAGAGAAAAAAACAGCACTCGCGTGTAAAATTGATTTTTAAGAGTAATCGCGTGCTTCGTATGCAAAAGTTTATTTTAATATCTCATTACCCTTTAAAGGCAATTGGCAAAGAGATATTCTTTTTAAATATCGTATGATATATATGACGGAGCGTGCATTCTATATTACAGAGCGAGAGAAAAACAAACCGATTAAAAAAGCTAGTGAGCTGGCTGGCAGCGTGTATTAAATTTCCATCAAAGAGCATAAATTCTGAATTGGATCAATCTCAGGGCGAGCGGCGGGCGTGACGATGAACTCAACGTTTCCCCCTCTCCGGTGAGTCGGCTGCGCGCGAAATATATACAAAAGCCATAAAATAGGTCAGCTTAAAGCTCGCCAACTCTCTTGACGAGAGAAAGGAAAACGACGACGTCGAAGAAAAAAGCCTCAAGAGAGCCAGAGACAAAGTAAAAGTGTGCAGCGGCGTTTTTTATTTCGCCTTCCATTCTCGCGCCACATCCTCGAGTCTGCGACTCTCCCACGCATGACATACCTTTTCGCCTGCGCCTACGGGCAAGACCTGTAAAAAAGGTACAGCGTACCCTTAGGCTCGGCCTGGCTTGGCCTGCAATGACGTGCGACGACGAACACTCTTTTTCGGCACGACAAAAAACCAATAATTTTCCTCAGAAGGATTGTGCCCCGCGCACGCGAGAAAGTTCAATTGGAGGATTTTCGATTTGTCCTTTGATGGCGGAAGAGAAGGACGAATATAACGTTGTATTTCGGGAGATTTTATTCAAAGAGGAAACCTTGCGAAGCAAGATGGAAATTTGATTGACGAGTCGAACATTGAACAAAGCCGAATAAAACTTATTGCGTTTATCAGCAGCTTTCGTGGCTTGAGTAATGCCACTTCTAACTGCGCGTTTCCTTTTGTCAGATTTTCTTGGAGAAAGTAGACTAGTTCTGGAAGACTGAACGGAATCGCGTGTACTATATATAACCACATTTGAAAAAGATTAACTGTGAGCCCTTATGATTTTAGTACCCATACTATTTAGCAATTTTTAAGATGAAATTTCGAATTTTCTATCTCTTAGCTTCATCACTTGCATACAAAGTTAGTTTACTCACTCTCTTTTGCAACGATTAGCCAGAGGTCACATACCTGAAAGAGATAAAAAGAATTTTATTTTTTGCATTTGGAGAAGATCGAAGTCCAATTACTAACATTCTAATGTTAATAATTGAATTTAGAAAAAAAAAAAGAGAAAATCAGAATCCAAATTGATTTGAAGCAATAGAAAGCGCTGCGCATAAGCGAAGCACATATAGAACAGAACGATTCCTACTTGAAGCGTCTTGCAAATAACATATACAGCTAGTTAGAATTCGTGAACGCGTCCAGAGTAGCTGGTGTATATATGTGTATACATGTTTCCGCTTGCCGATAAGTGAACTTCTTTACTATTTTTTCGTGTGTTATTTGCTCTATCATAGGTTGCTTTCGAGGCAATAGAAAGACTAGTACGTGGCCCGCTTTTCAGCCAATGTTCACGTATTCGTCGCGCGAGCCACGCACATAGCGATAGGGGCGCAATCCAAAGAGCAAGCGAGCTCAGATAAGCTGCCTTATAAAAGCTGCGAGCTCTTGCGTCGGGTATGTTATTGCGAATCGTTCGTTCTTTTTGCCTGCTCACCGAGTAAAAAAAAAGCACGAAATGCTTCACTACAGCATCGCAATTTTCGGCGCCCTCTGCCTTAGCTCAGCTGTCTTCACGGCTGATGCTTTCGACGTTACCAAGAAACGCGTGGAAAGTGTTGTTTTAACGGACAAGGATATTGTCTCGAAAGATCAAATGGTTAGTTGAAATCTTTTTGTCTCTTTCTCATCTTATATTAGATTTGAAAACTAGTTGATATACATTTTGAAATATAACCAAGAAATCAGTTAATTAAATATCAATATTCAGTATGGATTTCCTCAATTTTATGCTAAAAACTAACGCACTTTTATAAAAAATGTTATCTCTTCAATCGTCACAAGTGTTGGCATATCTATTTAACAATTAATGTTTAAAAAAAATCCATTAATTTTGAAATATTGAAAACATCTTGTTCAAAGGATGTTCAACTAAGAGATAACAAAAGGGAGCTCAGGTTTATCGGGGACTTGACAATTGGAGAGCGTCTTGCAGACGAGACAATTTTCCGTCGCACCATGGAAATATCGAATCCTACAGATCAGGTTTACAGTTCCGCAATAATGCTGAACGTCGAGAGAGGTAAAACATGTATTTTTTTTCCAGTACAATAAATTTATAGCATACTGTATGCACTCGAAACTTTAACGTGCTGTATCGAGCAGTTTTAATACACACACGTGTTCTTTATACATTGGCCAACATTGTATAACACGCCTCTAGTAATCAATCCTTTGAAATTATAGTACCGGTAATTACACTGACTATTTGCTTCTCAGAATTTCGACTCGCACGTGTAGTTATAACTTCCATTTTAAGGTAAACGTTCATTTTTACAAAATATACAATGGATTCTAATAGAATTTTTATTAAAAAAGCTGCTCGATGTTTAATTTACCCGTTGATATTCTTTTGCATTACAAATTTAATTTAATTTCAATGCTTTGTCTCGCGCTACTATTCGTTGAATTTAAATTAATTATAACTTCCGTACTGCCGACCCATAATTGATAATGAAAATTTCGAATCAAAGAAATAATGAATTTTGCAGGAACGATCCATTATCTCAACGTACAAAATGAAAAGAACAGCTACGCCGTCGCTTGCGACGAGCCGTATAGTCTGGGGACTTCAAGGATTAGCTTTAATGTAAGAGTGCCACCCAACACAAAGTCCCATCTTCTACTCCTCGTTGCTGCGCATTAACATTAAATCACTCTCCATTATATTTATTAGAAATCATTGACATTTGAAAAGTTTTAACTTGGGTATTTTTATGCGTACATTATTAATATGGAATAAATTGTATTTGGGAAGAAATGATTATAATTTTTTTAAACAGTGTAACCAAAAAAACCTTGAGAATTTTTTATAATAATAGTGTTATAAATTTAAATAATAAAGATATTTTCTTGTACTGAGGGCGCAAAATACTATTTAATGCAAACAATATAAGAGAGGTAATGTAACTTTCTTCATATTTTGAAGCAATATCATTCCACCTCGTTCATTAGCTAAGGATAATTTTGATGTAAAAAACGAGGCAAAAAGAAACGTTTAAATATCAACTTTTCATTAGCATGAGGTCACTGTTAATACTGACTAGCTCTGTCATTAAATAGAAAAAGTAAGTACTGCCCAAAGAGAAATGGAACATAGAGCGCGACATCAGGAATCTCGGTCGCAATTA